AGATCGGACCAGTAGATCAAAAGTTATTTAATATTAAAGATTTATTATAATATATATATAATTTATATAATATATTTTATGCTGACCCATCACCATGGTGACCCCGTGATCGACCAATCAAAATCGATCATGTGATTTGCGTAACTTTATTTAAAAAAAATACAAAAAAAAAACCTAATTTATAATAAAAAAAACTAGAGATAAAAACCCAACAACGAAGTTCGCAACTAGAAAAAATTCACCAAAGAAAATCTACCAAAAAAAGTTTAACGGCAAGGATCCAAGAAAGTGCATCCAAAAAATTTTGCCAACGAATGTCCAACAGCATGATAACTCCAAAGAACGATGACTTCAAAGAATGATAACTCCAAAGAACGATGACTCCGAGAATAATGATTTCAAAGAACTATGATTCCGAGAATAACTTAGAAGGCTAAATTTATAGAAAAAAAAATAGATTAGTTAAGTGAAAAAAAAAAAAACAAGAATAGCGAAAATAATAAGAAAGAGTTAGAAAAGTGAAAAGTGCGAAGAAAAAATGAAAACAAGAAAAAAGAAAGAAAAGAATAGGAAGCTAGAAAAAAAAAAAGACGAAAAGAAAAAGAACAAAACAAGAAGAAAGCAGAAAAAGTAAAAAAATAAAGTGAAAAAGAGAAAAAAAATAAAACAGAAAAGGGAAAAAAAAATAAAGCGAAAAGAAAAAAAATGAAAAAAAAGAGAAACAAGAAAAAAGATAGAAAGCGGAAAAAAAAATGAAAAGAAGAAAAAGAAGAATCTGGAAAAGAAGAAAAAGAAGAAAAAGAAAGATATAGAAAAGAAGAAAAAGAAGAATACAGAAAAAAAGAAAAAGAAAGATCCAGAAAAGAAGAAATGATAAAAAAAAATAAGGTAGAAAAAAAAAAAACAAAAGAAAATAGAAACAAGAAAAAAAAACGGAAGACTTTAAGAACAATGACAAAGAACAATGACTCCAATATGACAACTCCAAGAATGATAATTCCAAGAATGCTAAACTATAGAAAAGAAAAGAAAGCTAGTTAATGAGAGAAAAACCAAAAAAAATAAACAAGTAAAAAGAGGTAGAAAAATAAAAAGAATGAAAAAAAAAAGAAAGAAAAGAACAAAAAGCAGAAAAGAAAAAAAAAAAGAAGTGAAAAAAGAAGAAAAAGAAAGAAGCAAAAGACGAATGAATAAAGAAAACATGAAAAAAAGAAAGAAAAGAAAGATACAGAAAAGAAGAAAAAGAAGAATACAAAAAAGAAGAAAAAGAAAGATATAGAAAAAAAGAAAAAGAAAGATATAGAAAAGAAGAAAAAAAAAGATATAAAAAAGAAGAAAAAGAAAAATACGGAAAAAAAAAAGGTGAAAGAAAATAAAGCAGGAAAAAAAAACCAAGAAAATAGAAACAAGAAAAAAGATAGAAGACTCCAAGAACAATGACAAAGAACAATAACTCCAAGATAACGACTCTAAGAATGATGATTCCAAGAATACTGAACCATAAGAAAAAAAAGAAAGTTAGTTAATAAGAGAAAAACAAAAAAAAATAAACGAGAAAAAAGAGGTAGAAAAAAAAAAGAACGAAAAAAAAAAACAAAAAGCGAAAAAGAAAAAAAAAAGAAGTGAAAAGAGAAGAAAAAAAAGGAAATGAAAGATGAACGAATAAAGAAGAAAATGCGAAAAAAAAAAGAAAATGAGGCAGAAAAAAGGAAAGAAAATAAAACAGGAAACAAAAAAGCAAAAGAAAAAAAAAGAAAAAAAGAAAAAAAAAAGGAAGCAAGAAAAAAGAAAGAAATAAAAAGAAGAAGAAAAAGGTAGAAAATAAAGCAGAAAAAAGAAAAGAATAAAGCAGGAAACAAAAAAAGCAAGAAACGAAGAAAAAGAAGAAAGTAAAAAAGAAAAGAAATAAAACGGTGAAAGAAGAAAAAGTGAAAATAAAAGAAAGAAAAATAAAGCAGAAAAGGGGAAAGAAAGTAAGGTGGAAAAAAAGCAGAGAAAAGAAAATAAAAAAAAATAAAAACGAAGAGAAAAATAAAAAAAAGCAAATAAACAATAAACGAAAAGAAACATTAGCTTCAAAAAAAAACAAAATTA